TCTTATGAGGACACCGGTCAGATTCATTATGGCCTACACTAATGACCTCATCTGAACTTAAGTATGTCTGCAAAGACCCTACATCCAAATAAGGTCACCTTCCCGATCCTGGAGATTAGTAGTTCAGCATAATTTTAGGGGGGCATAATTCAACCCTAACAAAGATTATACAAGGTGTCATCTGTATGTAAAATGACTGGCTCAAAGTAGGTTGTCAGTGAGAGGGAGCTATTATTACTAAGCATCTAAGGTGTACCTTCCTTCCCCCCATTTAATATTGTTGAATCAGTATATGTCTTACAATCTATATGTAAATTTATTGGTGCAGTGATTTTTTTCCCTTGAAAATCAGTTATCAAATGGATGACCCATCTCAAATGGATGGTCATGTGCAAACATGGTATAACTTGTTGTATCACAAGACTCAGAAACCCTCAGTGTGTCAATGACCTGGAGAATGTGGTAGGAAAAAGAGAGAGTGGGTGCCCACAGATAATGCCTGCAGCTACTATAAACTTAGGAATAATAGATCATTGTTCCGACAGATGTTGGGGGTCCAGTTTGAGGCATGGGGGGAGGAGAATGGCTTGTTTGAAAGAATCTGGGGATGATCTGACTCTTGCACTTATTTCGTGACCACTCCTCGAGTACCTACTGTATGCAGGGAGGTTGCTGGTCTGTAACAGGCTTCCTGAGCTGAGTTCTCACTGACCATAGGCCTAGGATCGCAAGTAAGCCAGAGCAGGGGGCAGTGTGCTGCTCATGAAGCTGGAGAAAACAATCATTTCAGGAGGCCACAGGATCCCCGGATAGACTGGAGACTGAGAGAAGGCAATCTACCAGTATTAGAAATGTATGAAACAACCTCACTGAGCTGTTGCTTTATATTGCTCAGTTCTGTGTGCTGTGTTTACACACAGCATCTAGCATGGCCCAGGCTGAGTCTTGTTCTGTTCCAGGGGTCAGTCTGGGGAAAATATTTTTGCAATGAGTTCTCAGAGCCCAGACTAGAGGACTTGCCCGAAAGGAGGGTTCTCCCGAGACTCCACAGAGAATGAATGTAGATGACATTTTTCTCCTGAAAGGTCCGCCTGCCTCCACTTGCTGGCTTCTGTGTACTTGCAAGTGCTGTTCCCTCAGTTTGCAGTCCCCTTTCTTCTCCTCCTGGCTTGAAATCTTACGTGTCCTTTCAGGTTCAGCTCAGCGGTTCTCCTGCCCTGGAAGCTTAGCACATACAATGCTGTGTGTTAGCAGTGCCTTCCACAGCACCTGGCATGAAGCAGACGCTTCATAAAAGACATTAATCTAAGGTAATAGTAGAAGTGGAGTTTGTGGGCTGCCCCAGCAAAAAGGGTGCATTAGGAGAAGGCATGGGAAAGCAGGGGGCATCTGATCAGTAAGGGCAGAGGGTCCCAGAGAAAAGTGACAGAAAGCCAGCATGGAAGCATAAAGGTCAAAAGGCAAGCGGTGAGTGGAGACACAGGAAGGAGGTCAGGACAGGGATGAGGAGAGAAGGGAATTGTGTGGACAGCTGGTTGGTGACCTCTCACAGGCACATTTCTTTCTGTCTTCCCAAGAGGCCTGGCCACATGTACTTGACCTGGGATTTACAGGCACATCTCATTGAAGGAGAGGGTCCCAGGAGCCTCCCTCTCCACCTAGGAAGACTTCCTGGAGCCCCTGGTGGCAGGAGAGGTCTGGGGTGGGGGGTGGGGGGAAGCACAGGGACACTGTGGTAGCTCTGGAGGCCCAGACAAAGCCTCCTCACTCCACATTCCAATAGGAAATAGCCCCTGCTCCCTTCACTGGGAAGCTTGCCCCAAGACGGATGGATGCTGACCCACTTGCTCCTGGGGCCACCTTCAGTGACAAGAGGGCCAGTGGGGCTTTGGGACTGCCTTCCCTCCCTCTTGTCTCTCAGCAGTTGCATTTTGCAAGTCCTCAGGGATGCCTCCATGTGAGGAGTGGATCTTTCCGGGCTCTTGAAGACCAGGGACAGCTGCAAGTCAAAGCAGTCCAAGGCACTACTTTCTTGGTCCCTTCCATTGCCCCCAGCCTCCTCCCCAAGTTCCTTGAGCCCCCCAAATCCAGCTATGTGTTCTACCACACCCTTGTCCAGACCCCAAACAGCTCCCAGGGAGATCTCAGGAAGAGAAAGACCACATACTTCCCCCAAGTCAACTTAAAGTAGCCAGAAACACAGGGCCCTCTCAGGAAGCAAGGGGTGCATTTTGCAAGTGGAGTCCTGGGGACTCCAGTGATTCTTTAATTGGTGGCATTGAGGGTGTGGACGTTGGGGAACTTGGAGTGGAGAATTGTGGGTTGAGAGAGGGTCAGCGTGCAGCTGGCACCTTGTGTTTCCTGGCTGAAGAAGTTGTCAAGCTGATACTCCAGGAAGTTTAGTAAGTCTGCTGGCCTTGCCCAGTATTGGTTCCCAGCTATCTCTCCTTCCACTGGAGCAGTGGTGAAGCTTGTCTGAGTCTTCTAATTCTATGCTCTCTCCATTCTGCTACAGCCCAGGGGAGGAGCCAAGTGGTGTGAGAGCTGGGCCACAGCCATTTCTGTCCCCTAACCCAGGCCTTCCATGACCAAAGTGTCTGAATATACCAGGATTCTCTCTTTCACAGCCCTGCTCTTCAGAAGCCTGCCCTTCACCCCATCAGATTGGAGCCAATGTGAACGTTGAATTGGACAAGCCACCAACTTATCGGAACGGTGGTGCGCATCCAACCATGGTCCAGATATACACTGATGCTTCTGGGACACTGTGACATTTATCCACTCCAAAGCCACATGGATGTGCTTTCTGGCTTTTTCAATTCTGAGCCATTTCATGCCTCTGTATAGGGAAGGTTGAGAGTCTTGTACTAAGATGGCCCTGAAATCTGGTGGCAAGTCAAAGTTTGCTAGGGGAGATGATGAGGGTATGCATTTATATTTCCATGAGAGCACCAGTAGAGTACAGGGCTGGACTCCAGTGAAGCTGAGGAAGTCCAGATACATCCACTTTGTGAAGATTGGTGATGTGAGGCTTTGGGATAGTCTGATTCTTCCCTTATGTTCCCACGGACAGGCTTCTAAGCTCCCCTCGGCAATTTGGCTTGTCAGAGCAAAAGATTGCATTGACAATTGGTTTGCGTATTAGCGTTCTGTTCCTCGGGCTGGATAGCCCTCACAACCTAGTCCAGTCTGGGGGACTGTGAGCCTGAAGAGCAGTGGTTCAACTCTGGGACTCCCTGGGACCTCACCAAAGTAGTACCTGCCCCCAAAGCTCTGGACTTGGAGCAGCCTGCCTGGTCTCTGTCTGTGAAGGTTTTGAAAGGGCAACAGTATCTGTTGTTCAAGTGTCTTAACTGACAATCCCAGTCTTAATGCCCGTTTGTGGGGAGGTCACCAGTAATTAAGATGGTGCTAGCCAATCTGCCCACTGGCAAGTACCTCTGTTTTCCACTGTGGGCTGCAGTTTTGGCAGGACCCCAAGTTGCCTCTTTGCTCCTACACGTCTACTAAATGGGTAGCTCAGGGCACATTATATAAGCTTCTCTATGCCTCAGTGTTCTCTTCTGTATTTAAGTATTCATTGAGAACTTCCTCAGGGTTGGACACTGGACTCTATCCAGAGGATGGACAAGGGAGCTGGACCAAAAACTCTGGGACAGAGTTCTGGCGCTTCAGCAGCTGACAAACCTGATTCAGGTTACTCATCCTTAAAACCAACCTGCTCATACAATAATATCCATTCTCCAGCGGGTTTGGGAAGCCTAATTACCACTTGTGAAATGTTTTCTGTTTCTCATAAGAAAGGTGATACATCATGACAAGGTATGACTATCATAATAATCATGAACTTCTCAAGCTGCCCCAGGGCTAACCCATATAAAACTGCCATTCATGAAACCTTGCTAGTGTGACAAAGTACAACTATTATCCCTAATGATACTAATGTGCAAGGTATTGCTGTGCTCATGGAAAAGTCTTAAATCAGCCGGAAGTGAAGAAGGTAGACTAGGGCACCTGCTGTGAACTTGTCCAGCTCTCCAATTCCAAAAGTAAATAGACTCTTTGAGGAGGCAGGCATCCAGAAGGAGCCAGAGAGCAACACCAACTGAGCACCTGGTGTGAACCAAGCACAGTGTTATGCACACTATCTCATCTGAGTTTAGGGAGTCAGTTTTATCATCTACATTTTGCAGAGGAGAAAAAATGAGGCACAAAGATGTTGACTTGCCCAAGGAAGATGAACCTGGCAGTTATGAATAGATGGCCTGGAGTGAAGGGAGAGGCCGGGTGTGAAGTGACCCCAAAGTCTAGGCGAGGGCCGAGTCTCTGGACTATGTTGGCAAATGGGAGGATGACTACCAGATTTCCAGTTTGGCGTGCCCCCATGAATAGGTTTGCTGCCAATGGAGAGGGCAACCCAGGAGGGGAAGGCAGTTGGGAGGAAAGATGACAGGTAGTCCAAATTTGGGACCGGCAGTCCACGTGTCCATATGCCAGCCTGGGCCTTGGGAGGGAAGTTGAGACGCAGACTGGGGAGATCTAACAGGTGAAGCCTGGGCTGAGATCGCCAAAATGCAACGTGTCACCCGTGCTCACTACCCACCCCACCCTCCGAGGCTCAGGGGAAATCTCCAGAAGGCAGCAACAGGCCAAGGTGACAGGTGTCAGCGAAGACCTCCCCCGCGGGACTCCTGGGGGGGGGGGGCGCTCCTTTTCCGCAGGCCTGCACCAGGTAGGTTTCTCTGCTCGGCTCTCCGCCGCCGCCCTCAGGCTCCCCGACTCTCCCAGCCTCCACGCCCCCAGCCGTCTCCTGGGGCCGTCGCGCGAGCACCCAGGGCCGCGGCCAGCCGGGAGACCGACGTCGCACGCGGCAAGCTGCGCTTCCCCGGCCGACGGGGCGGGGCTCGGGCGCATGCGCCGCCGTCGTACGGAAGCCCGGAAGGAGGGGCGGGGGTCGGCGGTTCAGGTTTCTGCGGGCGGCGGGCGGCGGCGGCGGCGGCGGCGGGGACGCGGCTCGCGGCGGCACCATGAACTCGCTGTAACGCACAGGCTGCGCGGCGCGGGGGGAGGGGGGAGGAGGAGGCCGCCGCGGCGAAGTTCTCCGCCATGAACCTGAGGGGCCTCTTCCAGGACTTCAACCCGAGGTGAGGCTCCGCCGGGGAGGCGCGGCGGGCGTGAGGCTGCGGCGGGCGGCAGGGCAGCTCCCTGCGAGCGGCTCTCTGGGCAGCGCTTCCCGCTCCCGCGCCCGGTGCCTCGAGCCCCGGGCCCCGGCTCCGCGGGACCCGCGTTCCTCTCGGCCGGCCCACCCTCGCTGCTGGCCCAGCGCCCCCTCTCGTCCCCTCTTCTCGCGCCCCGCTGCCTGGCCTCCGTTCCCCGCGCCAGGGCCATTTCGCTTGACCCGACACCCCTAACCACCCCCTCACCACCACCCAGCTGTTTCCTCCAGTTCCTCTGAGCCCTTGAGGTTTTCCTTGGATATATGCCCATCCCTCGCTTGTTTGCTGCTTTGTCGAGTGATATCTGAAACGACGTTGAATTTTCGGAGTCGGTGTCAGGGTATGGCAATACCTTACATAATGCCTCTGGGGGTGAACCTGACAATTTTCCATATGTGGTTTCTCATCGGTCTTCACTGTAAGTTTATTTGCAGGAAGTAGATATTACCGTCCTGCTTCCTAGCTGGGGAATATCCTCTGGACAGTGTGGAGAGAACACTGACTAAGGAATCAAGTGCCTGTCCTTGCACTTGCCCAAGTGTTCTGTAACTCTGTCCATGACCCCCCCCCCCCCCCCCCCCCCCCCCCCCCCCGCCCCCCCCCCCCCGGGCCTTGGGCTCCCTGAAGCAGAGACCCATCTCCTGCTCTTCTCACTATCCCCAGCACCTACCACCGCATCTGAAACTTAGCAGGCCCTTATAAAATGTTTGTGGAACTAAAGTGAGCCAAAAGACCTGGATTGAGGACCAGGCCTCATGTAACTGGGTTACATATTCCCTGCTCATCTGACAACGAGTTGACCTAATTGATCTTTTAAGTCCACTAGTCTGTGAAGGGAGTACCTGTTTCCCTTATTTGCTGGTGGGAAGCCATGCCCTCAATCAACCTTTTGTATTCTAGGTCCCTCAGATGCTGGAAGGTCCCAACTTAGGGATGGAGAAGGGGCATGTAAATATATGATTGACAACACTTTTCAGTATTGTATGGAGGGAGCCCAGTGGAGGCCACTGCCTGGGCTGCTTGTGGGAGATGAAGCGAAGTCTTGGGAGAGAGAGACTGAGAGAGTGTTGGGAGCGCAGTCTCCCTAGGGACAGTGACACTTTAAGCTACGAGCCATTGTGACTTCCTAGGTACTCTTATTCTTTGGGCACTACCAGAGTTCATATTCTAGTCTGGAGTGCCAATGTTCCAATCACAGTGCAGTCATTATCATTGTTGGCCTTGGAGGCAGTCTGCGTAGAGGAGCTTGTTGAGTAGGTAAGGGAGAAGTGACTGCGGTGCCTTCCACTGCCTTTCCTAGGGGTTAGGATTGGTCCACAGCCTAGCAGCGTTGGTCCTGGAGTTGGACAGGCTTTGTGTGTCTACCATGTTTGGCAAGAGAGGTAAGTAAAACCTGACTTGTTTTGTAGCCTTGGGCCACTCACTTATCTTTCTGTTTTATCTGTAGATTTGAGTATAATCTCAGCAGGATGGGAGGCTAAATTAATGATTGATTGCAAAGTGCTTTACAAATAGAAAGTTCCAGGACTATTTTGCAGGGTGACAGATAATTCAGAACCCAAGAACTGCCTCGAGTGTTCTAACTGGTGAACAGAGTTGCCAAAGCACAGCAGTGCTGTGCACATAAGAACCTTAACCATTTTTTTCCTGTAGCTTCTTCCCTTCCCCTCCCCTCCAGCAAAAATTGTGATATGAAAATCACAATGAAATATTAGGTATCTAAACAGATGTATAGTAATTGTCAACATATTTATCAACATTTTACTTCTATTGGGATTGAAAGGCATCTCTAAGTTTAAAGACCTTTTATAAGGTGCCATTTTCCTGATGCAGTGTTGACTCAGTGGGAGTGAGCAGTGTTACCTCACAGTGGTGATTGCTATTAGAGTGGCCAGGTAATATTGGCAAGTCCAATTTTTTAGCTAGTGATGTGTCATGTCCCGTGGGCACACCTAGTTTTGAACATTGTTCTTTAGTCTTGTTCCATGCTGGGGCGGGCCTTCTAGACAGCTGAAGCACAAGCCAAGGAGTGTAGACAGGAAGATACCTTGTGCCAGGGCCTCTAACCTTGGTGCTACTGCCTTTCTCCCTGCCTCTAATTCAGAGCCAGTTCAACATCTCCCTCCTACCCCAGGACCTTGGCACATACTGTTCTCTTTGCCAAGAATGTTTGCCTCTCTTCTCCTGACCTAGTTAACTCTTACTTATTCCTGAGGTTTCAGCTCACTTGTTACTTGCTGAGGAAAGCTTTTCTGACTTCCCTAAGTCTGCTGATACCTGTTTATACAATTCCTGTAGCATGCTGAACTCTTCAATCAGAGCACTTACTTGTATCCTTATATTTGTGTGCTTTTTTGATTAATGCCTGTCTCCCCTACTAAACTATAAGCTCCATGGGGCCAGGGCCATCACTCTGTTCATTATAGTATCCTGCATACCTGGAATAGTACCTGACTCAATAAATATTTGTGGAATGAATGAATGGATGGATGGATGAATGAATACAATACTCTCCAGAGCCTATAGGAGAAATCTGAAATGGCTTCTTCCAGTCACTGTTTTCCTGGTGGTCTTTGGCTTGGTTCTCTTTCTTATCTTCTTCCTTCCCTCAGAATGCAGCCATTCCATTGGAGAGACAGGGAAGATGGTGATGCTAAGGCAGAATATGGCTGTCTTTACTTTGTGGGTTATGTGTGTCACAAAAATAGTCCCTGTCATGGTTTTGTGGGTCCCAAGGCATGGGCCATGGCTCCAGATCTCCTTTCCAACCTTTTGATCTTGGTGAGTCTGAACCCACCACTATATTGCCAAGGCCCTGGGAAACTGCAGTAACAGAATGATTCACAAGTGTCAGCACCGGATACACAGGGCTGCCAGCTGACCCTCTGCCTATTTCCTTCTGACCCATAACTGGTTGCTCATGAACCTCTTTTTAGATACACAGGTTAAGACTTGCTGAAACACACACACACTGGACCCACCAAGTCCTTCCCTGAGTGCCTAAGGCTTCCTAACTTAGCAGTGAGGGAGCCTCATTCATTGAAGAGGCAGCTATTAGCAGTATACAGAATTGGAAGACTGATTCTGAGGTGCCTGTGGGAGGTGGGAATCTGGGAATAGTGGCATTGAGCCAACACCCCACCCACACCATGGAGCCTCGGGATTTTCTGGTAACTTGGACTTGCTGGAGTTGCTGGCTTGAAGAAGGCTCTTTGACCCTGGTAGCCAGACAGTGTTGGAAGGCTGTGAGAGCTGTGCTAGGCCCTCTGAGTCATCTGTTCTAAGCACCTGGCCACGCAGTGAGTCCTGCAGGTAAGCCAGACCGGGGCGAAGGCTGAGGGATGCTGCTCTGGGGGTTCTGTCACGTGAGCATGGAGTACTAAGGAGGCCGGTAGCGTTTAGAAAGTTCCATATGCTGCAACTTCTAAAGCTATTCTGGGGTCTATGTAAGCTATCTTGTCTCTTTGAATTTAGGAAAAATGGATGTGATTTCTGGTAATTGTTAACCAAAGGCAGCTACCTGGTCTTTACCAATCATTTGTAAAAGATTTCTCTTTAAAGCATTCGTTGGTCAAACATCTCCTGAGTTCCTGCTGTGTGCCAAGAGATGTGCTATGTGCTCTAAGTACAAAAATAAATGAGATATAATTCTTCTCCATGCTCAAGCCCGGCAGGAGAAGCAGAAATGGGAAGAGAAATTAAAATTCAAGACAAGAAGAGACATTCCAGAGACAGGAACCAAACGCTGTGGGAGCACAAGGGGCAGAGCCATCATTCTGTCAGAATGGGCAGGGATGGTTCCACAGCTCAATCTTGAAGGATGTAATTGTAGGCTTTTGTCAGACCAGAGGTCAGGAAAGGCAAATTAGGAGGGACAGAGGATGCAAAGGCATAGGGTTCATGAGAGGACCTGGTATGCTCAGACAGTGGTGAAAGGTCAGTGTGGTAGGAGCGCTGCAGGTGGCACATGTCATAGGATTGAAAACTACTACATGTAGTGTTATTAATTATTGCAAATAGTTTTATGTATTACTGTTTTTTTTAAAGCAGGCTTCAGATCCATTGGTAGTGAGTGTATGCTGGTACTGTTAATGAACTACTCACTCACCACCCAAATGTTGGTTTATCTTTCGTTCTGTCATCTCAAGCCACCTAGAGTAAGAAAAACCTCTTGATTATACTGAGGTTATTATTAATAATATGTGTGATTTATGGGGCCCCTACCATATGTTAGGCACAATGGGAATCATTATCTCCCATCTGTGCAGCAACCAGCAAGTTAGATTATAAGCATTGCTTTGCAGAGTCTTAGAGAGCTTGTGACTTCCCTAAAGTTGCACAGACAGCAGGGGACCAAGTCAGGATTCTAATGTGAGTCAGTCTCCTTCTGAAGCCTGTGCTCTTTCCTGCATGCCATGCCACCTCTCTAATTTAGTGACAGTCCACCATACCACAATGGGTCCAACATCCTAAGGAGCCTTCTATTTATGAGTTGTGATTATTTTTTTTAATATATGAAATTTATTGTCAAATTGGTTTCCATACAACACCCAGTGCTCATCCCAAAAGATGCCCTCTTCAATACCCATCACCCACCCTCCCCTCACTCCCACCCCCATCAGCCCTCAGTTTGTTCTCAGTTTTTAAGTCTCTTATGCTTTCGCTCTCTCCCACTCTAACCTTATGAGTTGTGATTAAACAAAAAGTAAACCTTCTATCTGAGCTTACACATCCAAATGAGTGTTCTGCCTCCAAGAAGTTGCTTAGGAAAGAGAAATACACACACACACACACACACACACACACACACACACACACACACACACATCTATTCCACTGCTCATACACCTTGTTACTCATCTGAAATTTCCTTTGGAGTCAGATTACAAATTCATATAAGGAACTGCATCTCATTGCTTTATAATCAT